TAGGCAAAGGCATTAGTTTTCCTATCCCATTGTTATGAAAATCAAGGCTCAGTGAGGAAAGTAAAAATCTCTAGTCACCCAGCTAGAAAGAGGCAGAACTCTGTACTCCCAGATCTCTGGTCCTCCTAAACAGACATATAAAATCCTAAATCACACTGGGATTTTTCTGAAAATTTGAATTATACACAAGCTTCCCTTCTTTCTTAGGAATAATCAAGAATTTACTGGATAATATTATAGATCTACTGTACTGGAATTAGGGAAGAGAGTAAAATGGGAGATTATACTGCATTTTCTAAACTACTAGCCATAAAAATTATTAAACAGGCAATTCACAGAAGAAATATTAAGTACCAACAAAAAGCACAAAGATGTTCAACTTCATATTCATCAGACAATTACAAACTAAAACAATACAACATCAATTCTTTCTTTCCCATATATTAGCAAATAGTAACAAAGACTGACAATATTCGCTGTTGGGAAATACTGGGGGAACAGAAGCTCTAAACAAACTATCAGTGGGTAAGTGTACAAGTATCCATGTATGTTCACAATTACAGCATAATTAGCAATGTAAAATATGAGAAGAAACCCAAATGACATCAGTGAGAAAATGATTAAGCAATTATTGTATATGCTTAATGATGGTATGTTATAGCTTATTAAATAATAGATAGATCAGTGTCTTATGAATGAAAGAAAGTCAAGTGTTAAAAACAAAATACAAAATATATATAGTATAATCCATTTCTTTTAAAGATCTGCATATGTGTGTCCACGCAGAGGAAGGAGGGGAAGAATGTTCTTTTACAATCTGGCTGTGGTTTGAGGAATTGCATGGTCTGGCAGGAGCAGGGAAGAGTCCAACTACTTTGTATAGTAAAGTTACAGGAATTTGAGGATTGTTCCCTGGCAACTGGAGAGAGCAGAGCTGTGGTTCTTGTTTCTGACTGCACATTAAAATCACCTGGGGATCATTTGCAGCCCCTTCTCAGGCTGAGTAAAACAGAACCTTGAGGGGGTGGGGCAGGCATGAGGCCTAGACCTTGACAGAACTTGAAGTTCCTCAGGTAATTCTAATACATAGCCTGGGCTGAGCATGGCACTTGGACTCAGAATGCAGGAGAGAATATAAGAAACTCCTGTTCCACAGCAGGAGTCTGGGGACCTGTGGAG